AAAATAAAAAATATCAGGAATTTTATACTATACACTGATATTTATTAAATTATATTAAATCAAGTTTAGAATAAATTAAAATTAATAATAATATAATATGTGTAGGATCAGGTGAGCAGGTCATTGGTTTTAAACACATGTTCCACCAAAAATAATAATAATAATAATAATATAACAGGGCTTGAAGGGCTACCCGAGCTCGAGCTCTTTTTTACAGGCTTATCAGAGCCAAGCCCTCAAGCCCGATTACTTTAAAAAAATTATTTTCAAAACCCGAACCCTTATTTAAATAAGGCTTTCAAGCCCGACCCTCCAGGCTGGCCCTTATTCCCAGCTCTACTCACACTTAGAGAGCAAGGCTAATTCAATTACACATGTTAGTCTTATGAAATTTAATAGCCTATGATTCAATCAGAAGATGTAAAGAGAAATTCAGGATGGTTACATGATCATGCATAAGCACTGTTATTGATTTACGTGCATTATGATTATGTATGCTATCATTGAGATAAATGTTAATGGTTTATAGAATATTAATTGTAATCCCCCACATTACATCCTTTTTATTTGCCTAATTTAATTGTACTTCCCTTCATTGCTCTGATATAATTAGTTCATGGGGACATTACTTCTCTACTTCTCTAAGAATAATTTAAAGGCAAATTGTATCTTAACCCATGAAAAGTGGGTATCACTAGTATAGTTAATGGATGTTTAAACAATGGGGGAAACATTACTTTGATTTAATTAGTTTAAGGGCAACATTGATATAATGAGTAGTTTAAGAGCAATATTGCTCCTCTAAAATAGTTTAGAGACACAATTACATATTTATCTTTAATTAATTAGTATTAGGGTTAACACTTTAACCCTTAACAATGACCGTTGATGATAGCAACAATCAAGACCTGTTCATTAATGACATTTATGAGCACCTAAGGCTCTATAAAAATCATTGAATGTCCTATTATTATGGTGATTTCCGAACAGCCCTATCATACTAAGGAAAACTAGCTAAGAACTAGTAAGAGCAAGAGTGTTAAGGTAGAAGACTTACCCAAGACATAGGAACATTAAAATACTACCAAAACTTCACCACAGTGAAATCCTAGCAAAGCCTTGATGCCTCCCTCTTGGATCTCTCTCAAAGACACAAAAAAATATGTCACTTACAATGACATACTCAAGTTTTAACATTCTGTCTTGCTTTTTATGGTGAGATATATTTTTCTGCCATAACGAACTGTTCAAAACAAGAAACTCCATTTAAACTAAATATATTAGGCCTAAGTAGCCACCCTATCCCCAAAAGCCAACTCCTAATTAGTATGATTAATTAATTACGCCGCCTAATTAACTAGTTCATTCCTCAATTAAATTTTGAAATGTTACAATATGTTTGTGATTAACCAAAGTCCATGAAAATGCTTGAAAATTAAATTTATGTCATCTATAGTTTTTATTTAGCATAGTATTGATAACTTGTCAATGTTAAAGGAACAAGTTGTTTAAAAAATTGAACAATTTGGGTTGAAAAAATTAACAACTTTTTCATGTATGAACAAGTTATATTTACATATTTATAAGTGACTATTCAAATATAAATAACAATGTGTCCATGACTAACAGCAAGTCACATAAATGCTCGAAAACAAGTTATAATGTGTGTGTGTGTGTGTTTGTTTTTTTTTATTTTGTAATATATAGCTAAAGATATTTGGTAGTTTAGTGTTAATACTACTTTCAAACACCAAGGGATCAAATTCTCTCTTAGTTCCTTTCTTAAATTGACCAATTGTTGACCACTTGCAGGCGTTAGAGTTGGCAATAGTCTATCCATTAGTGACAAAGCTTTGATGTTAGTGATGGTGGGTTTTTTTTTTCATGTGTGAACTAAAGATATTTTAATAATTGGACAAAAAAAGTAATTGCAATTGAGGTTCGAGGTCCTGTAAAAGAGTTCCAAAGTTTATTGGGCTTTTATGTAATTAATTTCCCTTTGAGGGCCCTAACTACAACTTTCTCTTTGAGTAAACCATGCTAATATCTCCTTAAAGTATTCCATTATAAAATATATGTGCTATAACTCAATAGATAAATTACAAAATGGTGGAAATGCTAAATAGACCCATGATTTATAAGATGCAAATTTGAATTTAATTTGTGGTGTGTTTTATAATTTCTTGTCCAAAATAAAGAAATAAATAAAATTACAAAAGAGTTTGAAACTTGTGACAATAGTTCTTGCAATGGCTTGTATAATAATTGAGAATATACTAATGAGAACAGCTATACAAAGAGGAAAACCAATGCATCAAACATGTCACATTCAATTGTTGCTGTCTATAGGAGAACCTTAGAGGACTTTCAGTCAATCGTTAGCAATTACCCTTGCCATCTAAACGTCCATTAACTGTATTAGTGGGACCTATTTTTCATGGGTTAAGAAGTAATTTTATCCCTAAACTAATTAAATCAAATCAATAATGTTGCCCCCGCCGTTTAAAAATCATAAACGTTCGTTAACTAGAGAGAGATAATGAAAGGTATTTTTTGTACTAGTGCCATTCCACTCATATCCTTTCTAACATTCAATATTCATGCGAAAACATTTATGTGTGTCATAATATTCTCCACCATTTAGTCATGAATTATACATTAGGAAGAAGCTTAATTTTTGTACTAATTTTCTTCAGTGAAAAATATGAAATAGTTGAAATATAAATTCACACTAACAATATTACAAGAAGAGCTCTTGATCTAACAAATAGCAACTAAACAACATTTTTGGGGTAAAAAGGTCACTTCTTTTTGTCTTCAGATTAACTATCATAAATAAACATACTCTCTCGTTTGCATTATAAACAAAAAAAAAACATAATTTTGAATCCCTATGCTTTGCTTGAGTTTTTTATAGGTCCCTCCACTTCTTTTCAATGTTATAAATTCCTACATTTTTGTTTTGGTGTTCTAGGTCCATATAACACTATTCATGGAGGGACTTAGAACACCGAAAAAAGTATAAAGACTTATAATAAAATTAAAAAAAGTGCAAGGATCCAAAGTTATATTTTTCTAAACAAAAAAGCCTACACATAGACCATCATAAAGTGGTTACCTAAAAACCAATTCAGCAACTAGAATGCCACAGTCTAGTTAAAATCTTGACTTGATTCAATGTTAACTAAAAGAGATAATGAAAAGTAACTCTCACTAGCTACAGTTAATAGATATTTATAATTTTTAAATTACGAGGGCAATATTGCTCCTCTAAGAATAATTTAGGAAAAAAATTATACCTTAACCTATAAAAAGTGAGTCCTACTAGCAATAGTTAAGGATGTTTAAATGATGGGGGTGATATTGTTCTAATTTAATTAGTTTAAGGGAAACATTGCTATGATAAATAGTTTAAGGGTAATATTGTTTCTCTGAAAATAGTTTAGAGAAAAAATTACACTTTAACCCTTAAAAAAAGCCCAATATCGACTACCAATTTCTTAAATTGTCATATTTTATGAAAAATTATCGAATCTTTTTAATACAAGTTTTAATCAGTAGATATAATATAATAATGGCCGTAGAATTAATTATAATATATTTTCAATAATTTCCATTGCTTAATTATAATATAAAATTAACTTAAGGCAGTCCATTCATTATTATAGTTGACACATACTGTGATCCAGTTAGGCATCACAATTTTCCCACCTGTCATAACATCTATTATTATCTTCTTCAAATGATTTTATATTCATGTTTACATGTTTCAACCAAATTAAATATATCTAAATTAATAATTTCAACTTTTTGCACAGGGTATTGAAAGTAGGGAGTAGGGAATTGGCTTCCTTCCTTCCACCCTACCCTACTCCCACCTCTTATTAAATTTAAATATATTTAATTTAGATAGCTCAGATTAAATATATTTATTTTTTATTTATATATTAAAAAGCTATAAAAAATTTAATAAATATTTTTATTGTTAATTTGGACAATCTTGATTTAATATGAGTGGTCCAAATTTAATATTAAAATTATAAAAAATTAATATTAAATTTGAATCACCTATATTAAATCCGGGTTGTCGTGGTGATTAGGTTTAATAATTTTTTAATTTTTACAAATTGATTATTTAAATATATTCTCAACAGTGCATATTTAATGTTAAAATTATAAAGATTTTAATACCAAATTTGAATCACCCATGTTAAACCTAAACTGTCTAGGTTACTGATTAGATTTAATAAAAAATTTATAAATTTTTATTTTAATAAATATAAACTTAAAATTAAAATTAAAATATTTAAATTTGAAAGATCTAAATTTGATAAGAAGTAGGAGAAGGGCCAGGAGAAGGAAGCCAAGTCCCTTGAAGCAGCTGTTCCAAGTTCATTAGCTAGGATCCCCCGGGTGCCATATTTTTTTTTTATTTTTAACTTTAATTATATTAACATACAAATTACAATTAAATTATTCTTAAAATTGTACACGGACATTAATTTGATTATTTAATTAATTTTCATGCTCAAAAAAATATATTGCTGCATGCAGAGAAAGACACGCGGAATTCAATTTGGACGTAAACAAAGGTGGCGCCTTTTGTTTCAAGCACGTGTCACGTTACACAGAGATGCATGGATACCTTCATCGATCAGGAATGCCGAAGATCTGACCCAAAATGGTTCTCAAGCTTCGCGGCGGAGTATTTGGTTTCGAGATGAAGCAGAGAAGTGAGCACGTGCATATACATGGATGATCTTATTTGCTGCACGGAACAGGTAGGTGCACTTTGCTCCTCGCAATTATCTTGTCATTAATTACTCTTTTTTTTTTTGGGTGAGAAAGCCTAGAAACTAGGAAAAAATTCAATTGAGATGTATCATGAGATGATTATGAGTGGACTAGAGATATGAAGAATTATGAATTGGATTGGATGTGCGGGTTAAGTGAATAGGATGAAAGAAGCGGAGAGGGGGGTGTTGAAGAGACGACTGAGAATGGGAAAGCAGATACTGGTGGCGGTCTTCTTGGCATCGTCCGCTGCAGTGGTTGTTCCACCTCTCGTGGTGGTTTCAGTAGTTGGGATCTCCGTTTCCATCCCTTTTGGCCTCTTTTTGGCTAGCCATGCTTGTACGCACAAGCTGATGAGTCAATTGCTCCCGATGCCTGCTACACCGTCTTATGTTGAGGGGCGCAAGAAGGAATGCGTTGTTAATCATACAACGAGGGGGATTGAAATGGGAGAGAACGAGGATGGACAAGGGTTTGTCACCAGCTATGAAGCATCCCCAGCAGCAGGTGATCAAAGCATTGGAGATGGAAAAAAGGAAGATCCCCAATTAAGCGAGCATATTAAACAAATTGATGACAGGCCAATTCCAAGTCTAGTGACTGCTGATGAAATACATCCAGGTAATTTTCCTGTGCTATATTTAATAAGTGCACTAAACAATTACGTCTATCTGAAATTAATTATTGCAGAATCTTCCAACCCCGTGGTGAATGCCGTTGCGGATGTGCAGAACCTTAGACAATGTGGATGCTCCTCGGCAGGACACATTACGAATCATCCTAGTAATCATGAGGTGAAGTCCCAATTTAATTACTAGGTGATGCTGATGTTGGAAATTGCATAGCGAGAGAATGAGGGGATTGAAATTGCAGGTTACGGTGAATGAGAAGCTATGGAAAGAGATTAATGCCATCCGCGTGATAGTAGGATACGAAGGAACACCAAAAGCGTCATGCATCAATGAATTAAAGAACTTGTATATCCTCGCTGGAGTTGAGCCACCCTCCCTGCTCAACGCTTCCGGCAATTCCTGTGAAATCCATGACCAGCTTCACTTTCTCATGTCCATTCTTGGAGTCAAGTCCAATGGGCCTTGAGACTGCTTTTTGCCTTCTTTGGAGATGCTTAGGAAATGATTATAATGATGGATGGCTATTAGTTTTTTTAATTCTATCTAGCCTTTTATTTTAAGCTATCCAAACGTAGCACTTTTTTTCATTATCTTGCTTTTATTTGTTATTTGTCACAGGGTTAACAGTCATTTCCCCCTCTCGACCTTACTGAAAAGGCCATTCGTGCCCGTAACATTATTTTCTCGTTTATATGGATCTCATATTTAAATTTTTCAATATTTTTTATTAAAAAATAATCACGTTGTATCATTTTTTATATTTTTTTCGCCTCATCCTCCTGCCCACAAGCAGCAGCAGGACAAGCAAGATGATAGCATAAGCAGAGTGTCTATGAACTTGGACGTTATGGGTGCTATCCTATTGTTGCAGATTCTCCACCACCATCCCAGTCATTGAAGGTCCATGCAAGAAGAAAGAAACCAGTGAATAAGAGAGGATTTAAGAGATGTGAATTTCTGGGAGAAGAGCTTTTGAACTTAACACAGACAGAGAGATGGGAAATAGGTGGTTGATTGGTTGAAGAAGTTGTGAGCTGGGCGCACAGAGTCGATAGTGAAGTCCTTGTCCTCGTTGCCATCTTGCACTGGTAACGACGAATCCATCATCCTCAATTGTCTTGCCGCCTTGACCCGAGCATCATCATTCATTGGCTACTTACATAGCACACACTTATAGTTACAGAACCCTCGTTGCCAGGCAAGCTACTTAGCTTGAGATTGGTGCATCTCCTGATGGCGATAACCGAGGCTCTCACCGGTGTAAACAGCAATTGTGATCTCCCACGGAACCAACATGGAGAGGCTAGTAGCTTACTTTTATGAACGCCTTGAGGGGCTTAGTAGGAGGAGAGCACAACACGAAGCATTTGAATTGGATCGCCAACAATAACGATCAGAATCGTCAGTAGATCGACATGCATGGACGTTGCAGACCACAACACGCGCCTCGCCAATATCCAGAATGATCTCATGAGTGCCATTGACAAGATCTTCAAGTTCAACACTTTCCCCATCAGCCATCGCGAGCAAGTAGCCATTGAAGATTGTAAGAAGCTCTTTGATTTCTCGGTGTTGGAGCTGGCCATGAAGAGAAGAGAGGCAACAAGGAGAGGAAGGGTGAGAGAGAGAGAGAGAGAGAACGGGGAAGGAAAGAGGGAAGAGAGAAGAAGTGACGGGGGAGAGTGAAAAAAATATTAAAAATTGAATTATGAGACCCGCTTACATATTTAACAAAATATTAAAAAATTTAGATGTGGGACGCGCACAATGAGGACAGGGCCACGAATGATTAAATTTCTAACATTCCTAATTAGTTGTTGATCTTTTGAGTAAAGTTAAAAAATAAAAATATTTTAATTTTTATTATATATACATATATAATTTGTGACTTTACTATCCCATTCTCTATTATTTTTGAATGAAACGTGACAATTTAAAAATGACATTGTTTTATGGAATGTTATTTTTTTTTTAAGAATTGTTTCGAGATTGTTTTGAAGACCGTTAGACCTCTTTTTGGCCAACAAAACTTTTAGACCTTCTTCATAGTCTTTCTTGGATCCTCTTATTCATACAATCTTTCTATCTAAAGCAATTTTTGGTGGCAGAACATTTCATCTTCTTATAAAAATATATGTGCAAAATAAATATTTGAAAAAAATTAATTTTTTAATTCTTAAAATTTTGATTCACTTAAAACTAATTTTTTAACTATAATTTGATATAACTCAATTCTTCAATTTTAAATTTGCCATAACCTAATTCTTAAACTTTCTACTTTGTTATAATTTTATCTTTGTCACTCTTAACTTATCACGAGTCACCACTAAGTCATCCTACATGGTAAAAAATATTAATAATACTGTTCAGAAATTGCTAATATAGTTTCCAACTTAGCACCTCCGTTTGACGAAGGAAGGCTTCTCCGATAACCTTGATTTTATAGAAGCCTGATTCACATTACTTGTTCTTGAGGCCATCGACTTACTGATATCGTATGGCATTCTGGCTACTCGCGAATCCACTGGAAACTTCACCTCTAGGTCGCCGCCATTTATGCAGTCAAATGATGCTTCGTCGCAAGCGATGGTGAAGCTGCTGTTTAGCTTCTTTGAAGTTGCTTTAATCAGATTTGCCTGGACCAGTGTAATCATCATCAACATCAAGAGTAATGGCGGAGAGATTAGCTTGTTCATCTTCAATTCTTTCTCTCGCTCAATCTACGTCACTGGAAATCAATTTTTTAACGATGTTATTAATATTTTTTGACATGTAGGATGATCCAAGACTTACTCATGATGAATTAAGGATGATAAGAATAAAATTATAACAGTTGAAAAGTTTAAAAACTAAGTTATAAATGCGTTAAAAATTGAGATATTAAATTATATCGAGTTATATATGAGAAAATGAATTTTAAGTTGGTTATAATTTAAAAAAAATTAATCATTAGTCCTCATAATTTTAACTCAATTATAACTCAATTTTTAAATTTTAACTCATTATAACTTAGTCCTTATAGTTTTAACTCGGTTGTAACTCAGTCTTAAATTTTATATCTTGCAATTTAATCTCTATAATTTCAACCACTTAAATATTAGTCCCTATATTTAAAAAAAAAACTAGTTAGTCACCTATGCATTGCACGAGATATTATTTTTACAACTTTTTTCTAACAGTTAGATGGTGAAAAATATTTACATATTAGTAATTATATATCTAAAATAATAATAAGACTTAACTAATATGTAAATGATTAATATTTAAAAATGATGATGAAAAAATCATGTTGATGACACGTTAGGTAAATTTTAAATGATTATCTGATCTCAGGTAATTTGTTAACACATTACATATGAATACAACTACTTATTACACCAAATAAAGAGTCAACAAAAAAAAAATATGACATTTTAATGAATGAGCAATTGTCATTCATCAGTTAAATTGTTGAAAATCTCCCTGTGGACTACATTCAACGTAACATTTGTGGGCTTACCATTTACATCAAGAATTAATATCTTCAACCCTTTTCTACTTCACACTTGATATATAACAACATATTACTGGTCATGTGTAATGACAAGTCTTGATAAGTACAACCTAATGCTGAATAAGCTCTAATTCTAGCTCTTGTTTATGATCATAGCAAAGGATAATATAATTGAAAATTATCTCCTACAAAGAGTGAATGGTAATCAATAATCAAAAGTGACATCAATCTTTGAATATAAACCTTTGTCCCAGTATTCAATCTTGAAATTATTTCTACTTCCAGAATATATTTTCCTACCTGGGTGACAATTAGATGCGTGCCATTACAAAGTTCAAGAGATTTTTTTAAGAGCATAATAGAAGCTCCAATTTTAAGCATTAGTTCATGGGTTGGAAGGCTAGACATTAATATTGAGTTTAAAAACTCATTGGAATATAAATCATCCATTGAATATCTTGCTTGCACACATTGTCTGAGCTTAAATATAATACCTCACCTCCAGGAATCATGGACAGTATATATTGATTAACCTCATGGACTATAGACAACGTGAATGTTAACATGATCTTATCTCTGCAATATGACAAATCACTAAGATGACTAACAACATTTGAATACATAAAATTAACTATGCATTTTATAGGTTTCCTAGAATATTGTAAAATGTCATTTAAAATGGTGATTTCTGTCTCTCTATCATTATTCTTCACAATTATTCCATCTCCTATAGCAATGATTCATTGTACAAAATCATTAAGCTTGTTATTCATATCAAGTAATTATAAAGATGCGGCAGTCAGTTTAAAATTTAAATGTTGGACAATTATTTCAAATTATATATATATGGATTTTATATAGGTGCAAAATTTTCTTATATAAATATATTAATTATCTAATTAATTTACATTGATATCATGCCTTCAATCTAATTTTTAAATCAATAGGATTTTTGTGTGGCAAATAATGACAAATCACAATACGCTTGGAATACATATAACATGACAATACTTTAAAAATTAGATAAAGGCTAATGATATATCTACTATTTATATACATTTGCTGTAGCTATTCAAATTAGACGTGCACAATTACATGATAATTTGAATCTCATGGTAATAATTACGCAAAAATTTTTGTGAGAGGAAAAAAAAACTTGTAATAGCTACATAATATACATATAAGAAAATAGCTATAAATAAATTGGCCAATATCATAAACTACCAAAAACATAAAGTACATAATATACACGTTTATCATTTAATTTATTTGAATCAACTAAAATTTTTTTAATTATTGTAAACTACCTAAAACATAAATTTTATTTGAATCTCATTATATTTTATTTGCATTATATTGTCAAACAAGGAATAACAATTTATCATTGAGAAATTATTTAACCTACAAACACTTGTCATCACGCGCGAGAAAAAAATAGAGCTGAAGTGGCTTCAAAATACACTGACATGTGTCCTTGGGGTTCCTAATTTTATATATATAAGTAGATTTTAAAAATTAAAAATATTTTAAACTTTTAATATTTATAATATTTATAAAGATTATAAGGGTTTAATAATGTAAAATATAAGTAATAAATTTCAACATAATTCTAGTCTTTATAATTTTATTACTAATACTATAAATATTATATATCTTAAAAGTTCAAGTTATTGTAAATATTAAGATTTTAAAAAATATTATTTTAATATTTTAATCTTTAAATACTATAAATATTAAAATTTAAAATATTTTTAATCTTTATAATTTTATTTTTTAAAATATGAGGATCAATATTTAAGTGATTGAAACTATAGGGACTAAATTATAAGAAAAAAAAATTTAGAGATTGAATTACAATTAAGTTAAAATTATAAGAATTGAGTTACAACGAGTCAAAATTTAAGAATTGAATTACAATTAAGTCAAAATTATAAAGACTAAAGAATTAAATTTTTCTTCAAAGATCAAAAAATTAATTTTTCTAAATATTTTAAAGTAGTACTTTTTTTATTACTATGCCAATTTCATTTGCAAATAATATTTTCTTATATTACAACTCTTTTGTGCATAGCATGAGGAGAATTTCTAGTTTAAATTAAATTAGCTCCCTCCAAACTACACCATTGGACATTTTTTAGAAGCTCTACTCAATTTAAAATATAAAACATTGAGGAGGTTATATATATAGATATATATATTTAATTATACACTTATTTTACTATATTTCGTTCAAATGATTAATGAAGGTGAATACTTAAATAAGTTAAATATTATATTCATTTTACTCAAAGTATGATTGAAATATTTGAACATTTTTAAAAAATAATATCTTAACCAATTGTTTAAAAAACATGAAAATTAGTGGACAATAACTTATAATTAAAATTGATGCAAAATACATTAATGGGGAAAAATCCAATGAAAAATAATATTTTTGTAAACGTAAAAATGTAAGCAATATGCAAAATTCTATCATAAAAGCGAAGTGTTTTTTTGATAAACGCTCATTCGAATATACGACAGTAGATAGACAGAAAACTCTTGATTCAATCCGTCGAAGGAGTTAAATAAATTTATCCTAGACTTTTAGGTTGTGTTAAAGAAAAATATTAAAAACATTTTCGAGAAATTCATGAAATTGCTGTTGGTAATGGACAATCTGACAATCTCATACAGGGGCCTAGATTAGTATGAACATTTAGTGGTAATAAAAATATGAAAAAAGAGTGATGTCAAAAGATTGGAAGCCCGAGTACCGGGGCAGGCCCAGGCCGGTGGGGTTGAATACATGGACGGAAGCAACGAAGTTGTGACTTGTGAGGATTGACTGACCGAGAACCGAAGCAGAAAGGGCGTGGAGGCAGCAATCTCGGAGTTGAGTTCGGAATCCTGACGTCTTAACTCTTATGGTGACAGCGTCTTATATTTGTGATGATGATTCTCGATTGAATGAAAAGCCCCCCTTCCCTTCTTTCTCTTACTCTTGACTCAGCCCTCCTCAATCTCTCCGACATATCCGATCTCACTCCCATCCCTGACCACATCCTCCTCGACCTCTTCCTGGTATCCTCCTTTGTCCTCCGTTCATATTTTCTATTTCTCTGTCTTTGTCATTTTTTATTTTTGAGGTAATTAATCACTTTGGCGTCGCTTTCTTCTGCCGTTTAATTTTCCACCGATTTTCCCCCGCTAGTTTGCCATTGATTGTAAAGCGTCCAATCGCCGAAGTTTAAATACGAGTTGTCCGGCTAGGCTTAACTGACATAGTTTTATTTTTTTCTTTCTATCATTTTGGATGTGAGTGCAATCGATGGAAAGGTATAACTTGTTTTTAAAATCTTCAGATCTTTTCTTTTGTGGGATCAAACTTGTGATAATTGTGCAATTTATTAACATGCTGAGCATATCATGTAACGAATTGCCATGACAATAATTGAGGTTTTTGGTGTTATTTTATTAAGCTGCTTGTTGGGTCTTGATCTTAATCCACCCAACCAGGAGGAAGTTGATCATCTTTTATAACAAACAAACCATTGCTATGATAACATGGCTGTAACTATGACTATGTCTTTTGCATCTTAATACTAGATTCATGTTTGGCCAAATTGTTTATTCTCAGGTTAAAAAGAAAAGAAATAGAAAAGAAGAAGAAGAAGAAGAAGAATGTTTTTAACTGCACTCTTTTGCTAATTTATTCATAGGTTACCGGAATTGTAGAGGTAGATGTTTTCTTGCTTCTTCCAACATCTTGTGAAGATCTAGCTTTGTCAGATAATTTCAGCAATTCACCCTATGGCCTATGACTTGTCTAAGTTAATGGAACTAATTTCACTTTCAAGTTCTCCCCTACCATCAATCTTATGACATTGCTAAGCTGCTGGCTCTTCGACTCTAATTATTGATTTGTCTTTTTATTTGAAAATTGTCGAGATATGGGAATTTAGTAATCATGTTAGAGTGATGGAGATTCCATGTATCAGTTTTTGCTTACCATCTGTTTTATTAGGCTATCATATTCAATTGTCTTTTCCTGTTCCTATTGCAACTGTGGCTAACTTCATGGTAGGCATGAAGGACTCTATACTATTTGAGGCAGCAATGCTTCATATTGTGTATTGTGTCCCAGAACTACCATCTGTCCCTCCCCCCAAAAGTTACATCTAGAGGGTTTGAACCCAAATCACTGCTTATACTTCAAGTCACTTGCTCAGTTGGCCTGTTTCATGTGTTTTATTTTATTCAACCATGTCTGTTCACTCTAGCCTAAGGTTTATTCTGTCATTGTTGACTTCATCATTTCTTTATATGATTATCATGGGCAGAGAATATTGAAGGCTGGAAAGCTGACTGAGAAAGTTCTGAGACTGTTCGTGGCAACTGGTAAGGAGGAAGTCATCTCACTTATTCAGGCACTTAACATCCAGCATATTGTGACCCCTGTGCTGCCTACCAGTGAGTTGTTTTTCAAAATTTCTCGAAAATTGTAAACTTTTCCCCCTAATGGAGAAGTGTTTCTGACATTTGAAGAATCTCATTTAACAGGATGTTCTGAAAAATTTTAAGGTAGGTCTGTGTAGTTGCAGCGCCAGGTAGCTGTTTGAACTCAACTTGTCAGCTTTGAGAAGGTGAAAACGAATTTGGTTTCTGCAGTAAATTTGTACGACCTAAATATGTCTCAAGCAAATATCAACGAGAGTGAAGTGGACATAGTCATTGGTGCGCTGCATTCTGACCTGACATTTTTTATGAATGAATGGAGACCATTTTTCTCTCGTTTCCACATGATAATTGTCAAAGATCCTGATCTCAAGGACGATCTTCGAATTCCTGAAGGCTTTGAGTTGGATGTCTATTCAAAGTCTGATATTGAACGAGTTGTGGGTTCCTCCACTGCTGGCCTATTCTCTGGTTACTCTTGCAGGTATTTTGGCTATCTAGTTTCACGAAAGAAGTATATTGTGTGCGTTGATGATGATTGCATTCCAGCAAGGGACAACATGGGAAATATGGTAGATGCTGTAGCCCAGCATCTATTTAACCTCAAGACCCCTGCGACCCCTTTCTTCTTTAATACACTCTATGATCCTTTCCGCAAGGGTGCAGATTTTGTTCGTGGTTACCCATTTAGCTTGCGAAGTGGGGTTGATTGTGCTCTGTCATGTGGCTTATGGCTCAATCAGGCAGACTTTGATGCACCAACACAAGCACTCAAGCCCGGAGTGAGGAATTTGCGATATGTGGATGCAGTTATGACTGTTCCTATGAGAACTATGATGCCTGTTAGTGGAATCAACATTGCTTTTAATCGTGACGTAGTTGGCCCTGCATTAGTCCCTGCCTTGAGGTTGGCCGAGGAAGGAAAGTTGAGGTGGGAAACAATTGAAGATATATGGTCCGGAATGTGTGTGAAAGTGATCTGTGATCACCTAGGTCTAGGTGTGAAAACAGGGCTGCCTTATGTTTATAGAACGCAAAGAGGTAGTGCCATAGAGAGCCTGAAGAAAGAGTGGCAAGGGGTGAAACTGATGGAGGACATCGTTCCTTTCTTTCAATCATTGAGATTGCCACAGTCAGCGAGTACACCAGAGGCTTGTGTGGTGGAGATGGCGAAGACAGTGAAGGAGAAACTGGGACAGGTAGATCCTATGTTTTTGCGGGCTGCCCAGGCCATGGAAGACTGGGTCAAGCTTTGGACGTCAATTAGTTCCTCAACCGGTTGAAGTGGGGTGTGCTGTTTGTATGTGTGCCTCTCTTTATATAAAACCGATTTGTATGCGGTTTGTTTCTAGTCCACCTAAACTTTTAAGCTGATAAACTACTGTTTTATTAAAGCAGAATAATATTGATCGTATTTATTTGTTTCATGGACATGTTTTTTCCTATTTGTTAATTGAAGTTTTAATATACCTAGTGAGATAAGGCTGAAGTCTTGAGTTTTTAGCTTTTGAAAGCCATGGCTTAGGAAGGGTTGTATGCAAGAGCTATTATGGTTTGGTGGAGTATTTTCATGGAAAATGAAAATAGAAGATTGAGGGTGCATTACATAGAATGGGATAAGGATATTTTTACTTGGTCGGATAATAATCTACGTAAAGTAAAAATCATAATAAAATATTTATTACTATTTTAATAAACTAAATAAATATTTTTTATAAGTGTTCTTAAATATAAGATATGTCAATGATATTTTTAAGTACTTAGATAATTTTGTCTTTATTTAAAAAAAATAAAGAAGATATTAATTCTGTGTTTTATCCATCATCACTATAATATTAATTGTAATATTATTAGAGATAAAACTGAAAAGTCATTGTGATTTTATGTAATTTTAATTAAATAATAGACTTTTATATGGAAGATTTAATTAAAAACACTATATATATATAGAGTTTGAAGAAGCAATTTCTGAATAAGTGAAAATATTTTTTTTACATCTAGTTAATACAAAGCAGTAAAATATGTAATGTTAATTTTTTTATTTTATGAAAACATTTAATATATTTTTACATGTATTTTTATAAAATATTAGTATAAAATGTAAAGGGATATCATTTGCTTCTTTAACGGATATGCATGTTAATTTGGAGAAGAAAAAATTAATCATTTAATTCTATAGTTTTGATTTAGTTATAAAAGTTTGTAACTTTAATTTATTCTAATCCAGTTCTTATAGTTTTAACTTAATTATAACTTAGTTCCTATAATTTACCTTTTATAATTCACTCCTTATAGTTTTAACCACTTAAATATTTGTCTTTATATTTTAAAAAATAAAACTATAAAGATTAAAAATATTTTAAACTTTTAATATTTATAATATTTAAAGATTAAAAGGTTAAGATTATAATATTTTAAAATTTTAATATTTATGATATTTATAATGTTAGTAATAAAATTATAAAAATTGAAATTATGTTAAAATTTATTATTAATATTTTAAATTTTAAACTTTTTTAATCTTTATAAATATTAAAAATTTAAAATATTTTTAATTTTTAAAATATAAAGACTAATAGTTAAGTGGTTGAAACTATAAAGATTAAATTGTAAGAGATAAGCTTTAGAAATCAAGTTATAATTAAATTAAAACTATAAAGGTTGAGTTATAACAAGTTAAAATTTAAAAATTGAGTTATAATTTAATTAAAATTACAGGAATTGAATGATTGATTTTTCCTTAGGAAAACTTTTGATTCATTTCATTGATTAACGTGATCAATTGAAATAAACACAAAGTAGTTTAATAAGCTATACGTGGCATTTTATTCTCGTTTCTGAAGAATGGTTGCTTATTTCATTAAGATTTTAGATCCTATCTAGTGTACGTTTCTGAAGAATGGTTGATTATGAAACAAGAATTTTTTTTTTTTTTTTGGATACTAAAGGCTAGCAAGAGCTACAAGAGTACACACATAATAAAAACAAAGCCAAATCTAATGGGGTGGAAGGACCGCCTCTATCTAATTTAAAAAATCTCACACAAACTTCAAGGGGTTCATGAAGAATGGATATAGATTTCGGGATTTCATGGGCCATCTTCGCCAAAGCATCAGCACTCTGATTCACTTCTTAAGGGGCACGTGATAGAGTAGCATCCAAGTATTTATGAAACATAATCTGAATCTCATATATTTCTTCATAAAAAGGGTGCGTTGGTATTGGACCTTTTCATGTCAAATTATATATAGACATAATATAATATATTATATTAGGTAAGTTTTCTCATCAGAGTTGAGGAATACATGTCATATATTATGCTACTATGAGAATTAGAATTAAGTGATGACCTTGATTGAATTCATGAATTAACAAAGCAATCCCTCTATACTTTGCTTTCTTTTTGCTTTTTTCTCTTTCTCACCAAATTGATAACCTTGGCCGCAATCTCAATCTCATGATTTTGGCAGTATATCAATTAAGTAAATATAAATGACGATGTTAAGGTGAGCCAATCCAATCTCCAGGGTTAAAGGGGTGCTCCCCCCAATTTCATTGGCTCTTAGACAAGTTGAGGAAATTTTTTTTTATTTTACTTGTAAAAAAATGTAAAAATCAGCGTTTGCCCGCATATTCTAAGTAGTTTTCAATTGCGCTCCCTATGTATTTGTTTTTGGGTTTGTCCTAGCCAATCTCCATATGCCTTGGTCTTTCATTTTTTATTATTTTATTGTGCAATTTGTGTCATGATTTTTTCTTTCTAGTTTTTTATTCTATATTTTTTAGGAGTGAAAGATCAATGCTTAAGAAGAGTTATTGATTAATATTTTATATTGAGAAGGAGAATTACCCAAAAATTTACCACAAAAAGTGATAATCGATGATTTTTATGTCATAAAGACCTACAAACAAAACTTAAAAAAATAAAGGTATGTATTTATTTGATTTTTTATTTGTAAAATTGAATATGAAAATATGTGTTGAAATATTTTTAATATATGCTTTGTGATTTCGACCCCCTAATTAAAAAATCTAACTCCATCCCTGCATTTCGTGGAATTGAAATGAAATTAAAGAGTTGATTCAAATAACATTAGTACTCTTAAAAAAGCTAGATGTATGAACAACTCATGTATAAAAAATGAATAACAAACATAAGTGAAATGAGGATTGTAAATTCATAATAGCATGATACTGTTAATAAAAATTGTAAATTTTATCTATATAAATTGTTCATTTTTCACATGTCAATTGTTCATTTTTTACAAGGATAATTTAAAATGATTTACTTTTTTTTAGTGGTTACGCATTTTTTAACAAGGATAATTTGGGGTGAAAAACTAAAGAGAATTTAATGTCCAGGTAATTTCAAATGTATAACTTATATTGCGACGGATTTCATTAGAAAAGTGACCCAGTTTTGCATGGGTGGCTGTCGTTTATATTATCCTATAATACTAGATCCCTTGGAAGGTGGAACACCACAAATATAGACCTTGATGTTCATACCACAAGTGTGATCAGCGAGTTACTCTGAGCGGGTTGTTTTATCTCAATATATATAGACACCTAGGGGCTGGGGGGCAATCAGATGCACTATAATAATCAATTTGGTAAGGGCAAAAGAAAGAGATCGAAGCTAGAGAATGGGAAGGTTGAGCAGCTTAGTGATATCTCTCCCATAGTTTGGGCATGTCGGAGCAGCAATTGCCAGGATTCGAATCGGGAACCCCAGGGTTTTTGGAGCCGCTTGTCATAACCTATATTCAAATATAAGAAAACTTATAAGGTTGTGGAATTTTTGGAGACCTCCAGAATAACGGAGAGAATTCCAAAGCTTTCAGCAAGGGTCCAATATGTTCTAGAATGTTCTAGAGGCATTTAGAATAATCTAAAATTATCTAGAGAAATCTAGGAAGATCTAGAAGTTTCTAGAAGGTTCTAGAAATTTATAGAGGAATGTGGAGATATCTAGAATATTTAGGATGTTCTAGAATGTTCCACACATATCTTGAGGGATAGTCTCTAGAAACTTCTTTGTAAATATCTAAATATTTGTTGTAGATATTTTTAGAATATTCTAGAGATAGAATGTATATCGTAGGATCAAATCAATCCCAACCGTCCATTAAGGAGGTGAGAATTTTCTAGAGAAAAGGGGGAGGCCTATAAATACCCCTCACCCCTCATTTGTAAACACAAGCAACTCAAGTATAGTGTAAAAGCTCTCAAAGTTCATTCACTCAAGCTCTTTACTCTCTACTTGTGTATCTAACTCTCTTAGTCTCTTTGCCTACTTGTGGGATTCAGCTAACTTAGCAAAGATCAAGAGGGGGATCAAGCTAAGGCCGGCACAGTTCAAGAGAAGGGAGTTCCAAGGCTGTGACAACGTGGTATCAGAGCCAAGGTTCGAGGGAGCTGTGGTTTCGATAGCGCTACTAGTAGGCAATAATGTCGGGTGTGACTGAGGAGACTCTTGCTCACGATGAGGAGAGGGGAAGGGAATCCCAACCTCCACATCAGGTGGCAAGAAGGCACGAGGCACTAGTAAGGTACGTTCAGAAGACCTTACTGTACTCTCTATAAAAATTGATGCTCTAGAGAAAGCAATAGAAAAAATGGTGGGTAAAGTAGAGAAGGTTGAGGGTGATATGGGTATGTTGGAGAACCACACCCTCAAAGAGCTTGAAGGGGTGAAGAGTAGTGTGGATGCCTTACAAAACTCAGAGGATTAATGGGAGGATGCTGTTAAATCCTTAGAGGTGAAGGTGATGGAGGCTATCACCGCAATGCAACAACAACTCAACACTCTCAAGACTTCCTTAGAGGCAAAAGGAAGGAATCCACTATTGGATGGAAATAGTGGAATCAGGGAAGTGAGGATGGATCTTCCCAAACTAAAAGAATTTAAAGGTGTACGGGATGTCCAAGAAGTTGAGAACTTCTTATGGCAGATGGATCGCTACGCCGACACCTTGGGGATAACAGATGATCAAATCAAGGTACATACTGCTGCTTACTTCCTTACTGATAATGCAATGTTATGGTGGCGAAGGAAGCATGCAGACATAGAGAAGGGGCTTTACGCCATCAACACTTGGGAAGATTTTAAGAAGGAGTAGAAGAGACAATTCTATCCGGAGAACATGGTCTATGTAGCTCGCAAGAAGTTGGGAGAGCTTAAACGAAAGACCACTATTTCGGACTATGTGCAGGAATTCACCTCTTTAACTCTTCAGATTCCAAATCTAAGCAGTGAAGAGGGTCTCTTCTACTTCATTAATGGTCTTCAAAATTGGGCCAAGCATGAGTTGCAGTGGCGGTGTGTCAAGACCATAGACGAAGCCATAGTGGTTGTCGAGAGTCTCTCAGAGTTTCAAAGGGAAAGAGGTGAGTCTCCTAAGAATATATTTCCTAACCCTAACCTTGAGAATGGTGGGGGAGGAAACGGTAAAGGGACAAACCTTGAAGGGAAGGTGACTAAAAAAGGAGACACTGGGAAGGGATCCCAAACAAAGCAGAAGGAAAAGAGGGAACTTAGTTGCTTTGTATGTCAAGGCCCCCATAGGATGAAGGATTGCTCGAAGTTGGGGTCGTTATCTGCTTTGGTGCAAAGGCAACAGACGCAAGAGGAAGAAGAAAATCCTAGGATAAGATCAATCCAACTCCTCAACACTTCTAAAGCCCAACCTTCATAAGGCAATGGGTTAATGCATGTGAAGGCTAAGCTAAATGGGAAGCCTGCCAGCATCATGGTGGATACTGGGGCTGACCACAACTTAATTTCTCCAGAAGAGGCCAAGAGGGTAGGTCTCAAAGTTAAAAAGGGAGGAGGTTTATTGAAAGTCTCTAATTCTCCTCCTCAACCCTTAGTTGGCATTACTCGAGGGGTCGAGCTATGTCTTGGGGATTGGCATGGAAAGGTAAATTTCTCAGTTGCTCATATGGACGACAACAAGGTGGTACTTGGTTTGGAGTTCATGCAAGAGGTAAAAGCCTTTATCATGCCATATCATAATGTATTATGCATCCTCGAGGGAGGAGTTGCTCATACGGTACCTACTTCAAGCGGTGGAATTTCACGATTATCAACTATGCGGGTACTAAAGGAGGATAGTATGCCAGGAAGGCCAAGGATGATCTTATCTCAAGGGGAGATGAATTGTAAAGGACCAAAAAGAAGAAGGATCCTTGCGGGAAGAATCCTCAACACATGAATCAAGTCAATGACGAGGGCGTCACTGGATTAGGTGGGGAAGAATGTCACAACCTATATTCAAATATAAGAAAACTTACAAGGTTGTGAAATTTTTGGAGACCTCCAGAATAACGAAGAGAATTTCAGAGCTTTCAACAAGGGTCCAATATGTTCTAGAATGTTCTAGAGGCATCTAGAATAATCTAAAATTATCTAGAGAAATCTAGGAAGATCTAGAAGTTTCTAAAAGGTTCTAGAAACTTATGGAGGAATGTGGAGATATCTAGAATATTCTAGGATGTTCTAGAATATTCCACACATATCTTGAGGGATAGTCTCTAAAAACTTCTTTGTAAATATCTAGATATTTGTTGTAGATATTTTTAGAATATTCTAGAGATAGAATGTACACCGTAGGATCGAATCAATCTCAACCATCCATTAAGAAGGTGGAATTTTCTAGAGAAAATGGGGAGGCCTATAAATACCCCTCACCCCTCATTTGTAAACACAAGCAACTCAAGCATAGTGTAAAAACTCTCAAAGTTCATTCACTCAAGCTCTCTACTCCCTACTTGTGCATCTAGCTCTCTTAGTCTCTTTGCCTACTTGTGGGATTCGGCTGACTTAGCAAAGATCAAGAAGGGGATCAAGCTAAGGCCGGCACGGTTTAAGGGAAGGGAGTTCCAAGGCCGTGACACGCTACTCCCAGGTACTTTAACCATGTATGTACACACTCATTCGTCATGACATTAACAATGAACATCCACTCACTGTTACATGAATTGCACCTACCCAGCTCAAACGAGACGTTGAGAAGTGATGGGGCTGGGATAGGAGATAACATCAACATGACAGCCGATGAAAACCACAACAGCAAGGCTTATTCCACCGCCCCCCAAAATGTTGGCATAATTAATTAAATGCAGGTGAGGAGAGAGAGAGAGAGATGATATGACGAGTGACGTTGGAACATAAATATTATAAAACGAATGCAGATGAAGCAGAAAGCGCGAGAGGTAGGTAGCGAGATCTCAGCCAAGGCAAAGAACATGAGGGAGAAAGCAAAGCAGGCGATGCAGGATGCATGGGATTCTACCAATAACTCTGCCCAAAGGGCTGCTGGCACCGTGCTTGGAAAGGCTCGACACTCTGCTGACTCCCTCAAACGAAACGCTGACTCTCTCAAGAGATCCGTCAACAACAGAGACAGTAATTGATCACCACGGTCCCCTCTTCTTCTTTTTCAATTAGTTTCATCCTTACCGTATCCATTCCATTTAATAAACACTTCGTGTGTCACCTCCGGGGAATATAAATACCCTCAACTGATTGTTTTCATATTTGCACTGATTTGGTAGGCCTCGCAGATCGCATTCAACAAATAAATCATACTATCCATATTCTATTAATTTTTTATTTTACATTAAATCAAATATTGTAAAATGAACTGCATTTATTTTAAAAATAGATTAAAATATTTATTCATGGTCTATATAAATTTTTTATGTTGTATTAAATTAAACATTTTAACTGGGAGAATCACATTTAAAGTTATCTCAAGGGAATTTTATTGCAATAAAGGCTCATCAATTTTGCATTAGATATTATTTCGTGAAAACATGTACTCCCTTCATTTAAAAATATAAGATATTTTTAATCAAATTTCACCTTCAATAAAATAGTTACTTATTTTCAAACTAACCCTATCTTTTTATATTTACCCTCATTAAATACCTTATAATAAATATAAACTTGCTGTTAATAGAAGTACTTTTGAAAAAAAAATAATGATTATATTTCAAAAAACTAAAAATATTTTATATTTTTTAATATTTAACTTTTCAAAAAATATATTATATTTTTAAACGGGAGGAGTAATGTTATTAAAAGTTGAACATTGACTTGTTAACAAAACAATATTTGATGAAAAGTTAATATAACTTTGTTATAATAAATTTCCTTGACAGGGTTTTAAATGTCATTCTTTCTTTTTTTTAATTTAAGTGAATTGCGTGGTGTTGTGGCCAATTAAATTAAAATGTAAATACCCATATTGGCCTCACGTATACTTCTACTGAAACTTCCATCCTCGCCTTTGCAAAGCATCGTCTTTGGTCGCTTCTTTCCAATATGAAAATCACATTCAATCCATATATTTATATAATTAATCGCTGTATAATAACTTCTACTTACCTATTTGATGTTGTAGTTGTTTCTTAAATTCAGGAAAAAAAATCATAGAATATGGCTTTATCCCAATAATACTTCAAAAGCCACTCATTTAGGGACTCCAATAAGTGATAAACTCACAAAACAACTCTTCCGTGAATAGATGATCAACAATGTCCATCCTCTACTATAAAATTAACTAAATATGACATGGCATATTCATTGTTTATTTAAAAAAGCATCAAATAAATAAAGATAAGTACTCACTTCATTAAAAAATGTAAGGTATTTTTTAAAAGTTGAATATTAAAAAATATAAAATATTTTTAATCTTTTAAAATGTAATTATTACTTTTTTTAAAAATATTCCTATTAATGATGATTTTATATTTATTATAGAGTGTTTAATATTATTAAATATAAAAAGATAGGATTAGTTTAAAAGTAAATATTTACTTTATTGAGGGTAAGATTTAATTAAAAATGTCTTATATTTTTTTAAGGAGGGAATAACATTTAACAGTTATTACCAAATATATAAACAAAGACTTACTGGTCAATATATATAATAAAAAATTGTAACATGATTCAGGGAGTATTTACAACAGAGTCAAGTATTAGATACATAAATTTTTGACATTTAATATAATAATCAATAATCAAATATTCTGCTGCTCAAAATTTTAAAACAAATTCCCAAACTCTCGTAGCGTAACCATCGGGCGCTATCCCCCCTCATTTTCTTCCAGCAACCTCTCACGGGCCGTCGTCCTTGTAGCACCCTCCTCCAAAGCCCACCTCGGCGCCGCCTACCACGTGCTCAACCTCGGTGCCATCGTCAATTTGAATGAAGAAACTGACCGTTGTGCCTCCTCCTCTGCCACCCAACCTAGATCCATTGTCGCGCCTCTTCCGCTGCCTTCGAACCTAGATCCACCGTCGCGCCTCTTCCGTTACCGCTAAAGCCCAATTCCCACCTTGACGCTGCCAGACCGATCACGAAGCTCCTACTTCGCTGCTGCTATATGTTTATAGTTACCTTATGGATTGTGAAATGAAAAAAATGGGTGCAGATTCAAGCTTTATACCGCCATTAATCTATGCGATGATGGTAACTTTGAGGGATTTGGCGGTGGCAACAGTGGCAGTTGGGTCACTTTTACTGGGATTTATGCTGGCCAGATTGATAAATCCCAACTTGGACTCCAGGCTCTTTCTTCACCATGCTTTCTCTGCCACATTCTTCGTTGGGGTTATGCAGGCTTCAATAGGTTTGTTTAGGTAAGTACTAGTTAGATCATATAGTTTGCATATTCTTTAATTGCTTCTCTATTCTCACCAGGAGCCAAATTTAATCAAAAGAAGACACCTTGCTAGGTTAATTTTGATTACTTTTGTCAGCTGAGTCATTAGATCCAAGGGATATTCTTCCCCTCTTTAGCACAAAAAAGAAGTTAATATTGCTACAATAATTATTTCAAGAAATTAAATGTCCACTAAATGAGTGTGATTAGTCTGTATATTTCGTTCTAGTGGTTATGCTAGCTAGATGACAAAGGAAATGGATATAAGATACCAACACACAAATTAGTCATGTACTTAAAAATATTTTGTATAATTGATGATATTATTACTTTATTTATTTAAAAATGTAAAGTATTATTTTAAGGGTTGGATGTTAAAAAAATGTAAGTTATTTTTAATCTTTTAAAGTGTAATCATTACTTTTTCTTTCTAAAAAGTGCCCCTATTGAATAAATCACTTTATATTTTTTTAGGGTGAAGCACCATATTAAATAGGGATAAATATAAAAAAATGGGATTAATTTAAATATAAGCTATTTTATTAGACGATGAGATTCAATTAAAAATATTTTATATTTTTTAACAGGAGGAGTATTATTTTATACACTTGCACAATGATACTACGTTTTTTTTTTTTTTTTTAGCTAGTTGCTAAGTACACTTTCCAATCCTTAAGAACCTGCCCATATTGAGAAATTGCAGATAACACCATGAAAAACTATGTAAGATCATCTTGTTTCATTAATGGTATGGATGAGCAGACAATTTTACAATATTAAGATAGGCTGGCTAAACTTCAGAGCTAATTTTGGCTTACACTGTGTTTGTTGAATTTTGAAGAAGTGGAACCAAGAGCCAGGTACAAAGAAGGCTATCTCCAGCAAAATAATTCCTTTAGAAACTTAGCAGATTTCTGAGCAACAGGGGAGAGGCCAATCTGGATCAGAAAAGTAACAAACTTCTTCCCTAGTGTTTCAACTCAATCAGGGAGCATGTTGATAAAAAGAATCGTCATTCTCAACGTCTTAGAACATATAATTTTTTTTTTTTTAAAAGATGGAAGGTAATCTCTAATCCCTCGCATAAACACTAGAGAGCAAATACTTGTCTCTCAGATTATTGCTTGTAAAATTCGTATCCTCTATCTATTGTGTCTATCATGTAATTGAAGATGATGTGCATCCTGACCTTCTGTTGCTTTAGTTTTTAAGCTTTGAAGAGATCATACTTGACATGGAAATGAAGGGAATTCTAGATATGAGTAAGGTATATGCATCTTTCAAGCTATTACTTGATATTACCTTCATTTTTCAGTTTCTAATGTACAGAGTTTACTGGACATATGTTTAACATGCAAAGTTTTATAACATCTGCAAGAGACAAAAGGCTGTTAGAGAAGCTTATGATTGCCTAAACTTGATGGTCAAGTACATGGCATCAAATTCAGTCATCAGCCTATTCGTATTTTAATTACTAGAGGTTTCTTTTTATGGTGGTTTGAAATTACATGAATTATCTATTTGGTTCACATTCTTCTTTCTATGGTACAGAGGAAATGACTGAGGCGGGGATCCGAACTTCCTATTTATGTTATTACTTGCTATTTTCAAAATGAGATGATGGGATCGGTTTTATTTGAATATAAATCACTTTATAAATTAAATAACCTGCTCGTTGGTGATGCAGGTTGTACATTTTGAAAATAGTTTGGTTGATTCTAGGAATGAGCTACAGCACAAGTATGTCTACTTATTCTACAAATTAAATGCTTGTTTGGAAGGCACCTTTAAAAATTTTCTCCTTCCCCTTTTGATAGTATTGTATTATTATTTTTTTTTGTTGGACGTTCTGGCAAAAAGGTGGAGCCCTGCGCATAGCAAACACATCGATATTATAAATAAAGTAGTATAGATATTAAATAATCATAAAACATACAAGTATGTCAGTATCCATGTTATAAATAATCATACAGTTCATAAATTTTAAGCGAGCTAAATTATGAAGACACATGCAAGTATGTCAGCATATATTTCGGTGGAACTTGTACTTGATATGCACATGTTTACGGCTGTTTGTATTATTGGATTTGGTTTACAAATCTTGTATCTGTGTTTGCACCTGTGCTTCTTAAGTTGGTCTGTTTTTGGAAATTAATTTGCATAACTCATGTAATGTGTAGAATGATGGTCTTCATGCTTCAAATAAGATTACTGCATTTGATTTTGATGGATGTGTTGCAAAAACTGCTATGGATAAGGCATGTATAGTTATATTTCATTTTCATGTGATTGAATTGAATTTGGAGTACATTTACCCACTATATTTTTTTCAGCGTTGATCCATAATGAAAAGGAGTTCATGAAGAAATATTGTCCGACACAACTCTTGGAGGAAAACTGATTAAAGATGTCAAATATTGATCAAATTTGAGGACAAATGTTGAAGAATGATCAGGGGAAGATCAATTGCTAGGAATTATTACTTCAAATAACTTTTTGGTGAGGGGTAGAACTTGAAAAGTTGTATTACTTACTTTGTTTGTTATAGATTTGTTTTAAAATTGAAAGTGTTGTATTTCATGGAATTGAACAGTAAATGTAATTTGTGGAATTAAAGAGTCAATACAAATTAACATTAGTGATTGTAATTTTTTATGATTAATGATAGTTTGTTGCCATATTATTATGTAACAATTTTTAATTTGATTTCTGTATTTTTAAAATTAAAATTAAAAATTAATAGAAAATAATTATGTATATAATAAAAAATAATATGACATTTTATTTGTCAATTATTTTAAACAAGTGTTAGAATTTTGAGATTAAGGATAACTTGAGGAAATTATTGCTGCCTAATAGCTCTAATGAGTGAAATAAAGATTATTTAATTACAACAATGTAATTGGAATGGAGAAACTTGTTGTGATGATGACTTCAGATTTTTTTAATAAAATAAAGTTGAGAGAAAATTGAAGTTTCTTTGTGATGATTAGGACTTAGGAGTTTATTTGGGTTTAAAAAATGTTTGCAAGGTATTGGGATGATGATTTGCGGTGTGATATAAGCTCTAGATTTTTGAGATTTATTAAATGCCAAATTAAAGATTCCATAAGACTAATATTGAGGCTGGTTAAGTAAAATAAATGTTTCACAAGAGTTGGATGATGGCAGATTTATAATTTGAGGATTTTAACCAAAACTGTAGACTTCAATGGTTGGATTGTTACTTAGTTTGAAAATGTATGAGGATTATTGATATTTGTATGTTTATTTGGGATTAGAAATACATTTTTAAAGTTTTAGAATGATGATTCTAGACTTAAGACATACTTTGTGATTTTTGAATATTTATGGTGTGAATTTATAAGATAGAAAAAAAGAAAATTATAGTGGTAAAAATGTTTTAGAGGATTGATCATATGGTCTATTAAAGTGAGATTATGTTAGTAGGGAAGTTGGAACTTGGATTGGTCATACTAACATTATATTTGTATAAGGGATGAAATTAGAATAGTAAAATATACTCTCTAACTCTTTGTTTAGAGTTGTTTTATTAGTTTCAATAATTAAAACTAATGTGTTGTAATACTATATTGCGTGTAGATTGTATTGTTAGTAAATATTGCAGTTGAAGAGAAGTTGTGAGAGGTAAATTATTGTTGAAATCGTAAGATAACCATACTTTAATTTGTTATTAGTGTTGCCTATTATTATTTGTGTGATTATTGAGAAAATATGTTGAGATGTTGTTCAGAAGTTATGTTGATATGTTCACTGTGGAACTATAACTACGTATCTTGAAATATTTTTGTCATGTGGGATGTTATGTTTTAAATGAGAAAAATTGTAGAGGTTGTAATGTTGTATAATTGTCTATTGTTTGTTAATTGCTTGGCCATTATTGGTGGCATTAGGAGAATTGTTGCTGTAGTTGTTGTATTTTGTGCTACATGGTATGCCCTTATTAGAGGCCTAATAGGTGGTATATAAGGGCTCGAGCTAGTTTATCTTTAGCTTAGTGATCTAACACTGAGTGACGGCTACTGCTTAAGGTTAATGAAAAAAGATAAGGATGATTGTTTGTCATACAATATAATATCATTTGTATATGTCTAAAATTTATTATTGTTATTTGTTCTCTACTTAGCAAGTACACATATAACGGTTTGTATGTATTATCATAAATTGGCATGGGTAATAGACTTTTGAATCTCATTGTATGCTTAATAATTTTCAAGAAAAGAGCCTAGGGTGGCACGCGAAAGAGCCCCTGAGACTTTGTAATATCCTAGAAATTAATTAAGGATCTAATTAATCGATTAAATAGTTTAATTAAATTATTTAGGTAGTTAAAGATTAGCATTTTGGGATTGAAGGGCCATTTAGGCCAATTGGACCCTAAAAGGGGTCTAAAATAAGATTTTAAGGGTAATTGGGCCAAATTGGGCCCAAATTTAAGGATTTTAGTTGTACTATCCTTATAAGGCCGTTCTTCATGATGAACAATGCTTCTTACTGCGACAAGCACTTTAAATTTTAAGTTTAAATTTAGAGTTCAAAAAATGTAAAAGTGAGGTGATTAAGGGTTTATCTAGTGGGTAAATAGTTGTTCTGCTAGGGTTTTCACCATAAGGGGTGATCTTAAAGCATTTTGAGGTAGGGGTAAGCTTTCTTATCCCTTTTCTACCAATTTTCCTCTTCGGTTTTCTGTCTTGAATGCTTGAGGTAGTTAGTTAATGATTTTATGAGTCATCACAATCACTCTTAGGTTATTATTTAAGCTTATTAATGTTTTATAATGCTTCCACATCTAAGTTCTTATTGAATGACGGCCTTAAAATGCTTTAAAAAGAGGTGTAAAATTATACCCAATGCTTAATAAGCAAGTTTAAGCTAATGGGATGTTATGACAGTGGTCATTAGGCTTAATGACATATTAGACGTTAATTGTGATTAAAGAGTAATTAATGATGCTTAGTCATTAATGTTGTGTTTTATGATTTTATGTGTAGCGTATTGTGTTCCAAAGTTCCAGTTGGTGGGAAACTCTCTTAAAAATCCAAAGTTACATTCTTAGGGTGGTAAACTTAAAAGTAAAGATAACCAAGAAATTATAATTACATATAATTGTATTTGTAATATTCTTTCCTTAAATTGTTAATGATGAGATTGAAGGTTTAGTATGGACTTGCTGTGAATATGTGTTGCTTTATTGTGAGAGTAGGCCCATAATGATGTGAATAGAGTATGCTTATGGGTGTGTAGTAATGTTATGGATTTTGTTTTGAAAGTGTCAAGCTAAATTAGTTATATAATGATAAGATTATTGTTATATGTCATACGTGTGTAATCATTGTACATTGCTTAACACAATTGCTAATATGTCATGATTATAATGGTATGAGTATTGGTGATTATATCATCAGATTATAGCATGTTGTGATTTTATTTTGTATGAGGGATTTGCATAATGGTATGCTGGCATGCATATGATGGGAAGGAATTTACCCTGGTTAGTAGAGGCTAGTTATAGAGGAAATTTATGCGGTGTAGCTTCTATTAAGTTTTGCATATAATGGTTGACAAATATAATTATTATTGTGCTTAATATTGCCTATCACCTATAAGTGTGACATGAGTCGGTATGATGCTCAATATCACTTATCCTAGACTGGACAGTGTAGGTTGGGCAACTTGTAACACCCTAAAATTGGTCCAAGAATGAGTATAAGAGACTTTAGCCTGATAACCCCTCATAATTGAAGAACGAAATTGGTTTCAGTCATATGAACTAGGCTTATATGGTTTATTAGCCTATGGGTTTGGTTAGATGATATAAAAAGGAATATAAAGTGGTTGCATAATGCATAATCATGTTTGTATGTGTATATTGTGTTTCTCGTAATCATATGACTGTTTATGCTATTAATTATTTGTTTTGCTATTACCACACTTTGATATCCCTTAGGCCTCTTAGTTATTGAGATTTAATCAATCTCATTCTCATTACTTGATGTTTTTCTAGGAGATAAGAAGGTGAAGGAAAAGGGGAGGCATCGACACCTAAAGACTAAAAATTAATTTGTAATGTCTCTAGTTAAACTTATGTGTAATGAAATGGTTAATTTGACAACTCTAGAACAAACACATAACTATGTATATATGAGGATTATTTCATTTACATAGGAGCCTAGGTGTTATCTTAGACAATTTTATGGTTGTTGGCCCCTTATTTTTAAGTAGGAGGCCTACTATGCAACTGTTTACATGTCATGATTATGGTACATTATTATGAAGAACAGAATGTCTAAGCATGCCCATGTTGGTGTATTTGCATGTATAGAATTATAAGGGAAGACACTCTTATTGTGCAAAGGGTTTAAGACCTAAGTTGGTACCAAGTATTTTAGGATCCTCATCAGGTATCGGGTTACTATGTAAATGATATCAATAGTTAGATTACTTAATTGCATATGGACACTCAAATTCTTTAAATGGGAGTCCAAGTAATTAATTGTGGGTAGTTGATGTTAGAAGTCTAATTGTTGTCATGGTTGTATTGATAGCGCATACCTTATAATGGCAAGATAAACTGGTGGCTGTGGCCAGCATGCATGTTAGTGTTAGTTGTGACAAGAAGGCCTTTGTGTCATAGGCTATAGTGTAAGAGACAATAGCCACAGCGAGTGAAAATTAGTAGTACTGGCTAATAGCATTCTTAGCTACGATGAGTAAGGCAAACATGGTTGGCTGCGGTGAGTGTATTTCTAGCTATGACGAGCTAACAAAGTATTTTACAAATGTTTATTTCATTCTTCTAAGTCAATGACAAATGGAATTTTTTCATATTTCTTCATAACATAAACTTCTCTAATTATTAATATGCCAAAGTCAATTCTAGTTATAGTTACATTAGTTTTTGTAATTGGGATTTAATTATGGAGGTCATTACAGACTTAATATTGTGATCTTATTGCCTCTTTTAAGTATTTTGTTTTATGATTTTTAATGATGTAATATTATCAATACTAGGATTGATGTTATTTATAATTATGTGAATTTATTGTGATGATCACGCCCTTCAAGCTATTGTTGTTAGTTATATGTTTTTGGGTAACTGTAAACTATATGAAGTCTAATTTATTTTAGATGGTTTGAAATGGCATGTTTATAAGGTCATATAATTTGCTTGTTTTGAAAATTGATTGTATTGTTTATTTTGATTGTTGGTTTATGGTTTGCATTTATTGAGAGTATAACGTTAGAAAAAATGTTATTTTGGCCTAATGACATATGGAAGGACAAACTTTATTGATAGGTTGTATTGTGCAGACCCAACCCAAATATTGGATATTTACATGTTAATTTCCTTAATATAAATTGTATTACATGGTTGTAACTTAGCTATGGTTCATGTTATTGAAAATGTTTGTGAAATGTTCTAAAAGATTTTAAAAGAATGCATAACAGATTTTAAATCTTTATGTTATTTTATTTGTGTACAATTTTAGAATATATAAATCATTTGAGCCTTTTACAGTTATTATATTTATAAATATATAGGATTTTGACTTTTAGAAATATATGTTTAATAAGCTAAGTTTTATTTACCATGATAGTCATTTTTAAAAGGTAGTTTATATTTTATAATTTATGTCTATTCTTTTTTACCATGATAAT